GCTGAACTGCAGATAACAGTCAGCTGAAGTGGCCTGCAGTACTGCACTGCGCCACCTCGGCTCTTCAGACTAAAGGACTAGGGTTTGTGATACCCTATCATCAAGATCTACGACTCAAGAGCTTTTTGATCATAGAGCAAGCTAATTCCTATACAACACACATTTGCTTCATATATTGTGGTAAGCAGTTATGAGAGAGACAGGGAGAGCTGAAATTCTGGAACTTTGGGATCTGTAATGCAAAACGTCTCTCCAAATTAAACGGCACATAGACTGTACAGTATATACATTTTATTGCTGCCACAAGTTAGAAATGGGAAACATGTCTTAAAATTAAAAATAGACTGCCATAATTGCATTTTATTGTTGGCAGCCAGATACAAGCCCCCAAAGTAAATTTTAAAAATGCAGTGCTTTTAAAAGGGGTTGGACCATAGCAAGAATGCTTTAAATGTTCATCAAGTTTTAGGGAGAATTTTATTTGCAAAGGAGATGGTGCTTACTTCTCCATTTGGCAATTGTGTTTAAGAATAAAACCGGGTTTCGTAGATTTTTCACAACTCCAAAATCAGTCTTACTCCACATGCTGATTCATTGGTACTCAATGAACAACCAACCCACAACCACACACATGGCATCCTTCCCTAATTCAGGTTGTCTGGATGCCACATCTGGAAGGCACAATGTCTGGGAAGGCTTCCATATTGCGATCAATAGATTATCATTGCAAATGATTCTTGGGTCAAATATTTACTTTAAAATAAGTTGTATGTATTTGGGAAGCCAAAGGGAATATATATATATATATATACTTTCGCTGCATGTTTAAAAAGATGGCTTTACCCTTTTATCTGGAAGAAAATGTAACTTCGTGACTTCCACTCCAAACACAGCTCCTTAAATTACTACTTCCTGCAGCTGTTTTTACTCCATAATAAAACTAGACAGGAGTCCTGTTCTTATTTAATGCTTGACTGATATAACAACTCATTTGAAGCTCATGTTTTGCTCTTGGAAATGTGTCTACCTGTCTTCTGCTCTCTGTGTGGTTCAGAAGATCCTGGAAAGCTACTAGTTTGTCCTCCATCAGTTGTATGATATGTAATGGGGGGCAGGGAGCAATTCTATATTCTGCTCCTGGATGTTGAATGTTGTCAGTGACAATAGCAGAGAAGTAACTTTCTTCATCCAGCTCAAAGGGAGGTTAAATTAACCAGCAAGAGGGAAGATCAAAGGCATTTTCAGTTCAACTATGAAAATAACCACAAGGAAAAAAAAAATAACAGACCATTCTTGGGAGAAGTGCTCTGAGTTAATTTCCAAAATCCCATAATGCTTCTCCTAGCCTCCAGCACGATGGAACATTTTGTTCATCTGATTCAACCAGGCTGATTATTTTGTCTTTAATAATGAACACATTGTTAGATTTGCTGGCCAGTCATTCCTTTTTAAAAGCAGATGGATAGTTTATGGAAGAGCATCCTATAAAGAGCATCCTATAAAGCAACTTATTCAATTGGGTGCCTTCCATACATGCGGGACAAAATCTCCTTACAGACCAGAGGACATCAATGGGCAATAGAAGGTGAAATACAATGTGTATTTGGGTTAGAGAAGGCTGCTCTAAGGATAGATCCCCTTATCTGTCCTTATCTAATAAGGCCTCTATTGCCTGCTATTAAAACAACAGCTCAATTTGCCATTGTCCCAAGAAAGGTGGGATTGGACTCCAGATACAGGGAGTCCTTGATTTATGTCCACAACTGAGAGTAGAATTTCCATGCTAAGTAAGGTGGTTAAGTAAATTATGCTTTATTTTTTTGCCATGGTTGTTAAGGAAATCACTATAGTTGTTTCCTCCTCC